GGTCTGCCATGTCTGTTGCCCGGTATTGTGCAAAGCTACTCGTCTCTAGCATCAGCGCTCCGAACCTGTCAGTGTATGATGCTGACGGTGGTGATGGTGATGGTGGTGATATCGCTTTCAAGTAGGATTATTCTGAAGGTTAGCCTTCTTGCCGTTCTGGTCACAGTTTCAAGTTTTCCAATTCGTGATAAGGTTTTAGTGGTAATCGACCTCTCCTCATGGTCTAAAACACCCCACCTCCCGATGGGTATACTCTAGTGCCCTCATCTGAAAGGTATCCCTGAGGGTCATGCAGGATTTTTGGTATCAATCGTATAATCTTAGATTCCTATATACTTACAATTTCTCCATCTCATGTTTGCATTTCTTATCCAATTGATTCTCCATCCTTGGGGTGATATTCCAGAAGCCTCATAAAATCCAGAATAATCCTATCAAACCCTTAGATAACCTATAAAATGCACAATATATACCCTTTATATAGCCCTTTCAAAGTCGGAGGGGGAACCTGAACCCTCAGCCCTAGATGTCCAGGTCGCATCCCTTTCTCCAAGTTGGCTGAACATGACAAGCGCGCTGGTCTTCCGCGCGTTGCAAGGGCTGGCGGGCGAGGTGACAGGGGGACCAAAAAAGGTGTCAGGTTCGGGTCCCTTTGAGAGGGTTTATAAGGGCTACCTTAGACCCCAACGACCAACGACCTTCAGTTTTAGGATTTTATATGCAGAATTATACTATGGGGTCCCACAACTGCTTTTTTTGGTGTCTGAGGTATGTAGGGATTGTATGGGGGATATGTGAAGTGTCGGGATTTGGGGTTCGGCATGGCTTACAAGATGGTTTTGTCATTTTCAACCCTTTCAGTAAGGACTCTCTGCGAGTCCTGTGAGAGGCATAGGGTCCTTGTTACCGCGAATGGAGTACGAAATCCTTCTTGTGTACTGCAGTCTTCCCCACACTCATAATAAGGTCCCATATACCTCATATTCTATCTACGTAGGGATGACTACATGCTAAACTCTTAACCCTAAGAACCCTGTACATGTCTACTTAAGGTGGATGATATTTGCAGGCTCAAGGTTGGTGGTTTTTGAAATTGTCGTTTATGCTTGATTCCTTCATTCAGGGGCTTAGGGTATTTTGCTCAAGACCTGAGTGTATTTTGCTCAATTCGTAGTGTTCAAGAGTTTCGGTCTGGGCACAAGGAATGAGGCTCAAGGATTAGGGTTTAGGGGTTTAGGATGTAGAACCGTAGGGTTCCTCTTTTACATAATCAACCTCGCCTGCCCTAACCAGGCAATTTTCGCGATTGAAAATACATTTACGACGGCCATAACGCAGACAGCGAGAGTAATTCTATACACACGTAGCACCATTAGTGATGCTGCAGTACTTTTGTGAATCTTTTTCGTGTTCACGAGGTGGTTGCCAAAAGGGATGGTATGATTTCATGGGTTTTTGCACGAGGGATTCGTTTTCAACCTTGCAGAAATCAAAGCGTAAGAGTTCTTGCAATTGTACAACAACATTCTCTGGAATACCCCAGGATGTCCAGCAAGTTGTAGAAAACCTCTGCTTTAAGCGGTTGGCGGTTGTTCTGGTCTGCACAGGTGGCATATACGATCAACGTGCCGATGGTGAATCCCATCCTGATGCCGACCTTTCAAATAGAAGACGTTAGGGTTTAGGGTGTAGGGATTATGTGTTTTTGCGCCCAAATGAGGCATAGCCTAAACTCCTTTACAGGGTGGTTATATAGGAGATTGTATAGGGGAATATTATAGGGGTTATAAAGGGGGATACTAGGAGTTTAGACAGTGGCTCAAAGAATTTGAGCAACCAGGAGTTGCTAGGTACACCCTGAAGCTTTATCTCCAGTCTAAACTCATGGACCCATGGATCCTAAGCCATGACTTGTCAACTCTAAACGGACTTTTTATCCGTAACGTTTTGTTGCATGTTGCTCAGTTTCCGAGCCTGGCGGATGACGCAGTAAGGAATTGGGAATCTTGCCCCGATCATGTAGCACCAAATGGAAAAGAACATGGAAGTTCAAATTCTGGAAAAGCAAATTGGGTCACACAAGCAGTCGTTCACAGCTCACCAAGCTGAACCAATTGGCCAACCACGCACCAACAGAAATCACCACCTTTTTGAGTTATTCAAGCCCTAAAGCCCAAACCCTACAACGCTAAACCCTAAACCCTGAACCCTAAACCCTAAACCCTGAACCCTACAGCCCTAAACCTTAAACCCTAATCCTAGGATGCCACTGACAAATGAGTGGTTAGTCCAAGTTCTGGAGCCGGATTTTGCGGTGACAGGGCTCCCAAACTCAATCGGCAGGAGCCAGAGAGGGTTTAGGGTTGTAGGGTTTAGGGCTTAGGGTGTTGAAGCAGACTTTGGTTGTTACCATTTAAGGCATACTTGTGATTAATAACCTCCTTCCGTTTAAGGGCCTAAATATTAGGATCCCTGTTATAATCCCTATTCAGGGGAGGTGTTTATGAGTCGCGGGTCTGCGTTAGGGCTTAGGGGTGTAGACAGGGTTCCCTTTATTCAACCCTTGTAGTGATCATCTAGGCATTTTATCCCAGGAATGGGGAAGAAAAGGGACAAGAACATGGAAATTGAGATGGAAGCTGGGGTAAAATGGATTTGTTTGAGGTTGTCCCTAAACCCTAAATAAGTACCAACACAGTGGTCCTGGAATCCTTGTATCATTATGGCATAGGATACCTCAACAAGATGATATGGGTGATTGTTGAGGCACTGTGATGTTGTGGTACAGGGTGCCCCGTATTCTGAAGCATCGCGTCATTGTTGTTTGGAAGGGGTTTAGAATACCCTTAAAGTGACGGTTATGAGGGGGGTTATATAAGGCACCCTGTACGTAGATTACTGTAAGTTGGTAGGCGTGTTGAAGGCATAGGACATAGGGTCGATTATAAGGTTTTGCTGTAGGGATCCGTGCTGCCATGAATGCCCTACTAACTAGTAATAAGGTAATCTACCTAGGAGAATTAAATGCCGGGATGATATGGCTGATCATGTATTTGGGATGCTAGATTGGTCCAACAGAAGATTTGATCTTCCTAAACCACACCAGCGGGCCTGCATTTGCATAAAGTAGTGTTTGGAATTTGGGAGATCTTGCTACTTTCTGGCTGTTGGTTGTGCATCATCTGAGCGAGAGCCTTACCTTTTAGTATCCCCATTAATATCTCCTATGAGAGTCCGCTATATAACCAGGAGTTTAGACTGTGCGTCATGTGCTTGTGAATCTGAACTTGGGAGGTCAAAGTAGACTGAGACCTCAGAGTCTTGCATAGTTACGGTTTAGGAGCGCTTAGAGCCTTAGCAATGCACGTTTTGGGGAGGGTGTAGGTAGGGGCGATCCTAAATTCTCTAAACCCTTAACCTCATAGGGTCCAAAATAGAAATCCCGTGGTTTGCCATGTAGCCTACTGTTTGAAGTGATGTGCCAAACCCCAACCAACTCACGAACCCTAAACCCTAGAGCATAAACCTGAAGCATTAACCTTTATTCCTTAACTTCAACCACTCCTAAGCCATAAACCCTACATCCTCAACCTTCGTCCTTTCTGAAACCCTAAACCCTCAAATGTAATCCTACATCCCGAGCACCAGGAGCCAGGGGTTCCAGGTCTTCGGAGAGTTCGAAGTCTTCGGCATCGCTACCAAATCTGCAGTTCCGCAAGCGGAGCGACAGGGTTTCGTGTAAAGAGGATTTAGCTTTCAGTATGGTACACTCTGGCGGCGTGTATTTGTGGGGATTAGCTTTTCAGTCTATCCTATACATAGTATAGGGTGTCCTATACATTATGCAGGAATGTGCAGCATGCAATCGCGTCGTGACATCTGTTCGTACCGTAAAATAGACAGAAGTGGACAACCCTATTCTACTAGACCCGTCCTTTTCTGTGAGATCACAAGTTACTTTCCCGATATTAGGGGAAGAGAGGGACGTGGCCCGGTGAGAGAGAAGGGGGGGGGTGCAAAAAAAAATTGTTGTTTTTTGGCAGCCGCCCCTCTCACCCCCGGACCTACGCCTCTTTCCTCTTTTCTCCGTAGAGAGAATCTGTCCTAATCCGTTTCTTTCTCGATTTCTTATGGGAGATCATGAAAGACGCAGACCGTGAGTCAATTCTGTAAAGCTAGCCCATGCTTCAGGCTCCCGCAACCTGCTGTTATTGGCTTCTAGCCCGATTCATGTCACATTTACATCCTCTCTCTTCCCTTTCAGTTCCCAAAGCCGTCCCGTAATGGATTTTCATAATATTCCTATTCTTCTATATAACTTCAGGATTATTTCTTCCAACACATTGTTAATGTCTTATAAAGAACATCAGCAAGTTTCGAAAATAACTTGCTTGAAGGTGCCGACCCCAGCTTCGTGATCGCTCATCAAATCTCGGCTGCACTACTGGGCTGCCCAGGGAACTGATTTCTGAAACTAAAGAGGGTTGCATTTTAAAATGCATTTTCGTAGTACTTTAGATGTAGATAGCGTACTTGGGAGATATAAGATTTTCGAAGAGTGCCAGTATGTCCTCTAAAAACAATGGCTGGAATCTCTTACGAGCAAGTCTTTTGCAAACTAACAGACTACACAAGGGCTATGATTCTTTTATCCCAGCAACTTCCATTTCTGATATTGTTGTGCAGAGGTTAGACCCCGCTCGCCCGCAAAATTTAGGATTAACAGGTCGCGGCATAGTTGTCTAAGAGCTATGGCAAAGTCGCTTTGTGCTTGATGTGGCAAATGGGGAGCATCTCGATGCTTGTGTCACGACGGGTTTCTGCTAAAAAAGAAGGACGGGACGCAGCTCCTCAAGAAGAAGCCTGAGATCCCCAGTGTGGAGAAGCATGCAGTGCCTCCGAAGCAGCCCATCGCCAAGCCTAAAACAACAGCGCCTCAGCCCGTGCGAGACCCCAAGACCTCTACCCCTACTCCGACAAAAGCACCACCTGAGCGCAGTATGAATGATAAGCAGGAGTTGCTAGAGGTGTTGAGGCTCCAGCGTGATGTACAGAGGGCCACGCTGGAGCGGGTACAGGCCGAGGAACGTGTTATTCTTCTGCAGAGGGATATTGATAAGCAGAAGCCACATGAGTTTACGAACTCTGGTGCGAAGAGTTCCAGTTGGGGTTCCTGGAATAGTAGAGGCTGGCGCCCTCGTCAGGGCTATGAGTTTTGGTACAGTTGGAAAAACGAAGGCCTGCAGTAAGTTGAAGACTTGCTCGCTGTGTTGTAGTTCCTGAGACGACCGAGCCTGCTTTTTTTCGTGCAGGTCGTAGCCGTGACCCTTCAAAAAAATCTTTCGTTATGCGCTCCTAGACAAAATCTCCCCTTGTCGCCCCCTTGTGCAGGTTTAGTCTCCTTCGGATTATACGCATAGTTTGAAGGACTAAGAGGGGATTTGGTCCAGGATTACCTGAAGTTTAGATATGGTATCCATAGTTATGCTTCCGTACTTGCATGTCTTGTGTTTCGCCAATCTAGTATGCCACGCTGCCTCGTGCAGACGTGCGATCGAGGAACTGCATGTTATCTTATGCTTGAGAGGACGTATCCCCAACTGTGATCCTACATTCCCGTCTCATATGTCGAGGCCTTTGCAGACTTAGAAGACACACAGTAACGACCCGCTACTGGCATATCTAAGCTTGATTTCCGGAGGGCATGAGGACTTTCTTCGGAATTATCGAAACCCAGATATCCCATCGTGGTTGTGGTCCTGTATTTTCATGTTCTACTGCTTGAGCCCAGCATGCCACTCATACCCATGCAAGCATGCGCTTGATGAAATACAAGCTCGCTGGTGCCTGCGCTGGCGCCTCGAGTACTCCACCGCTCAGCTGTACCTGAACATCCTACAGGTCGCCGACACCATATGGAACTCCATGCCCCGCATGCAGAAGCAGCAGAAGATTCAAGCCGTCGACATCGAGGCCCGCCTTGCAGACGACTTCGTGGCGAATTATTAGATGTGGTTCCATGTGCACGGCTGTACACGCCAGGAACGGCAGAGCATGCGCGAGATCGTGATTGATGGACATGAGAAAGTGTCAAGCCGGTGCTCCAAGACACTTGTCCCTCATGGTGGAAGACCTCGGAAAGATGGTACGACCAAGAAACGTACCAATGGATGGTTGATGGCGATCCATCTGGGGTCAGCTCTCATTGTCGGGCTCCATGAGATGATTTATCCCTAGAACAATGCCATAGCCGTGAAGGTGCTGGAAGACGTGGCCAGCATCCTGCCAATGTTGGATTGCGTCATTTACGACCGCATGTGCCGTGCACTGGCGGCTGTTCCATGTTCTGAGCTGCTGTGCGGCATCAAACATTTCTGCGTGGAAAAATTCCATGCCTACGGCCAAGCCTCGAGCTGTCCATGCTCTCCCTACGTGCACAGCCGTATCGACAAGAGATTCCAGCACGTGGATACGTCCGTGGCAGAACAAACCTTCGCATGGTTTCGCAACGACGCCGGCACATTCAACACCATGGCCCGCCTGAGGTACGTCTTCTATGTGACGTTCTATGTGCAGAAGCATATCGAGCTTGTCCGGCAGAACAGTCCCTTCGGCTCCAACAAGAAGCGCTTCCGTACACGTCCATATGGCTGCCGCAAGCCTGCCTCCGCGAAGAAGATCCTCCGTCGCCCAAGCTCCAAGGCCGTGCTACGTCGCCCGGCATCCTGTACGCGCAAGCGTCCATCTTCCTCGCGAGTAAGCTGAGAAGTATTACTTGCCTTTCCAGGCTCATGCAAAACAGATTTGGTAGTCGCATTCCAGAGCCCATGCCATCACGATTTTAATGTCTAAGCATCACGGAGTATTCACAGTCTGGAGAGACGTGTGGGAATGAGCGTGCAACCAACATAGAACAGAAGAAGAAAGCTTGCTTGTAACTTGACGAGTCTGCATGTGACACCGCTCATTTGTCATGATAGTGACCTCTATCTTGACAGTTGTCTGACGGGTGGAAAGAGTGATATCCAGATCAGGTGCAGCGCGTATATCACCAGCTAAAAAAACGGATGTGTCTGAACCGCGTGCATGTGAGGATGGCGGCAAGTTATTAGCTGGATGTCAAGACTACATATGCGTAGCTGAGCTCACGACCTCGGATCCGGTTTGCTCGAGCGTCAGTTGTTGTGGTTACATTGATGTCAAGACTACATATGCTTAGCCGAGGTCACGACCTCGGATCCGGTTTGCTCGAGTGTCAGATGTTGTGGTTACATAACCACAGGTTGCACACTTGAAGGGATGTCTTGGCGGCTTGTATTTACTAAGGTCCCTGTAACTTTGTACTCCTATATAATTATACGATTCCCTTCATCTGAAAACCCAAAAACTGGAGGAAAAACCTTAAAATCCTCGAAAATAATACACGCCGCCACGGCGTACCAGTCTCTTAGGTTTAGGGCTTAGGGTTTATAGAGATTGTGGAGGAATCATGTCCGGAGTTTTGGGCGGAGTTTTGGGCCGTTTTGCTCTGTGCCCCTACATGATTTCTCTTTACTTTGGGCTTAGGCTGATAGGCCTTGGGGTATACCTTTCCCAAACAAGTATTATAAAGGTTATTAAGGGGGATACTAGGAGTTTAGACTATAGCTCATGTGGGGCTGCATGTTTGCTTCAGGAAGGGTAGGTTTCTTAGTGCCTCTTCGGGGTTCTGGATTCTTGTTCTGGTATGCTTGCTTGAGAACCCTGCTCTCTCTCTAATTCATCCCCAAACCCCAATCCCCAAACCCTAAGCCCCAACTCCCAAACCCTAAACCCTAAACCCGAAACCCTAAACCCCAATTCCCAATGTAAACTGGCTTCCTTCAACTCTGGCTCTGGGCAGATGGGTAGACAAAGTGTCCGGACCAGCCTTTAGGGATTTAGGGTGTAGGATTTAGAGATAGGACTAGGGGTTTTGGGTTGAGGGTGTACGGTTTAGGGATAAGGATTAGGGTTTAGGTATGGGGACTGGGGTTTAGGTATGGGGATCAGGGATTAGGGATTAGGGTATAGGGATTAGGGTTTAGGGTATAGGGTTTCTACCGCTACGCGGATGTCCACAGTGGTATTTATATAGTACAAAAGCCATATTCTCACCATATGTGCCCAATCCAAGAGCATTCCGCGAGTCACGAAACCCCAAAGGATTTAGGGTTTAGGGCCTTCTCCGTTTTGATTTTCGAAGCGGCCCCCCCCCCCCCACCACACCTTGTACATTCTGGCAACAAAAGGGCGAGTATTCAATGCCTCTTTGTAATCCTCTTGTGTCCGAGGGGATCTGTTGGGATATTTCAAGGTTCATGTGTACTTGCAATTTTCTTGTAAACTGAACTCGGAACCCAATTAGAATCCCTTGCGTCTCCGAGTATGGTTACGCTTGGGTTGTAAGCATTACAGTATAATTAGGTTAAAGTACCCATGGACCTCCAAGTACGGTACCCTACTTTGAGAGAGGGAACCCTAACACCTAAGTCCAAACACTAGATCCTCAACCCTCAGCCCTAATCCGAAGGAGACACCAGTACTTGTGCAATTCAAGCTCCGGACGCCTTTCCCCACAGAGGACATGCCTGGCTTGAGTTTTGGGTTTAAGGCTTAGGGCTTCGGGTGTGAAACCCAAGATTGCGTTCGACCCCTTGCCGGCCCTGTTAAACTGCTCAGAACATGGCGATGATATTTTCAGATCGATGTGTCCCCTAAACCTTTAACCCTAAACCCTAAACCCGAAACACTAAATCCGATGTGAAGCTATGGCATTGTGCAATCTGACCCCGAAATAAGACAGGCATCTCTGAAATCAGAAAGTTTACAGTTTAGGGCGTAGGTTTAGGGAATATTGACAGGCATCGCCGAAGTCAGAGAAACATTTAGCATTCAGCACGAGATCCGAACAGTCCAACATGCATCGACGGCCAAAATAGAATGTGATACAACAATTGAAGCAAGAACTTGGTCACACGTCTGTTAAACAGATTGGCGAAACATCGCTTAGGTAAAAATCTGCCAGAATGTATAAGTTTTTCCGAATGAATTCAATTTTCAGTTCTCTGCTCGATTTTGTGAGGGTTTTTGTTTGCTTTGTCTTCGTTTTTCATCTGTTTGTTTTCTAATATTTTCTCCAGACTCGGACTTTTCCGACTTCAATTTCGTTCTTGGCAAATGTTCTCCAGACTCCATTTTTTGTCGATCTCTGCTCCGAACTCTGATATGTCACCTTCAGCCGATTCTCGATTTTTTGACTAGTCTGCTTTAACGTCTCATCCGACTTTTTCGCCCGATTTTTGGCGGGCTCTGGCACTTCTTCTTCCGTCATTTTTTCCAATGTTGGGCCGCGATTTTTCAAACTGTCCGATTTTCCGATGGTCACGGATTCATGTTTTCGATGTTTGGACGGCCGGCCAACCTGGACTGTGTCAGTGTTTTGTCGCAGGTCCGGATTTCATAATCACGGGACATGAAATGAGCCATAGTCTAAACTCCTTAAAGGGGGCTATATATATATGGGTAGTACTATAGGGGTTATTAAGGGGGATACTAGGAGTTTAGACAATGGCACAAATGGTCGACCTACCTTAGGCCTGAGAATCTACATTCTCAACCCATAGCGGTCGCGCTTGAACTGCAAGCCTTACCTATATTAGGGTTTAGGGTTTAGGGTTTAGGGTTAGTAGCCAGTGAACCCCAAACAAGGGCTTCTTTGATAGCACTACTTGTTTTTAAACGTCCACGTTATCCTAGGTATACCTTGCATCATAAATCATCGCAGTCAACCTTGACCATGCCAAACCCCAAACCCTAAAGTCAGTAGATAGAAAATGTGGTATATGAGGATCTTATTATAATATACCCAAAGACATATTCTATCTACTTAAGGGGGACTACAAACCCTAAACTCTTAACCCTGAACCCTAAATCCTACACTATTAGCCCTGAACCCTAAGTCCTAAAATCGTAACCCCGCATCCTAAACCTCAAAACCCTAAACTCTTAACCCTGAACCCAACTAAGCCTTAAACCCTAAATCATAAATCCTAGACCCTACATCCTAAGCCCTAGATTCTAATCCCTAAACCCTAAACCCTAACCCCTAAACTAAACCGCAAAAGTTTTGCAGGATGATCAAAAAACATGACCATAGGGCCTAAACCCCTTGACCCTCCCAGGACCCCTCGGCAGCCTTTCGGCTCCGAATCGTCAGCCTTTCGGCGGCCGGGCGAGCAGGAGTCTTTAATCCCGGAAGCTACGCGGCGCTTCAGGTTACCCAGGGTTTAGGGTTTAAGGATTAGGGATTAGGGTTAGCAATTAGGGTTTAGGGATTAGGGTTTAGGGATTATGGTTTAGGGACTATAGGGTTTAGGGTTTAGGATTAAGGTTTGGGGTTTAGGGTTAGTTCGGTGCTTGAGGTCACCTGGGCCTGTCCTTTCTCAATGTAGACCCATGATTGAGGGTTCATGAATCAGGGGTCTGGGTTAGGCTATGTGATCTATTGTTTGAGCAGATATCCATCTATAGGTCTATACTGGGTTGCTGATAAGGAGCTTATTTTAAGCTACTACATTGGGGAAACCGTATTAGGTACTATACATACCCATTATGGTAACTTAATTTAAGTTCCTTAACAGCAACCCAGTATATCAATAGATATGCGGGATGCATAGGGTCCAGGTAGAGTTGGGTCTGAGAGTAACTCGCAGGCGAAGATGTACATATGCGCCATGGTCTAAACTCCTCAAAGGGGATCATGTAGGGGAGAACTGTAGGGCTTATGAAGGGGGATACTAGGAGTCAAGACTATGGCCTATATGGGGAGGAGTCTTGTCAACAAAGCTGGGCCCGGATGTTGAAAAAGTTCTGAATCCTCAGCCCTGAGCCCCAACCTGAACCCCGAAACCGCTAAATCCCGACATCGCTACAGCCCGTAATCAAAAACGAACTATTATTAGCAGTAGTACCAATCATATGAACAACTTTCAAGACCCCCTAAACCGTAAACCCTAAACCCGAAGCCCTAAATCCTTAAACCCCAAACCCCAAATCCTAAGCGATAAGCTGTAAGCCATAAAACCTCCAAACCCCAACCCAAAATGCTTCAACCCCTAAATCCTATAAATCCGAGGAAACTGCATCCTGGATTCCACGCGCTCCTCCAGGGCCCTTGTCGCACAGCCGGCAGAGCCCCTTGGTTTAGGGTTTGGGGTTTAGGGTTTAGGGCTGTGAAAAGGGAGCAATCTGTAGAGGTCTTGGGGTTGGGGAAGTAAAGGATTTGGGATTCATGGGGTTTAGGGTTTGGGTTTGGGGTGTACAGGAACTTAGGGCTTACACCTTTGTGGTGGTTAGGGTTAAGGGTGCAAGGCTCAGACTCAGGGTTAGGGCTTACGGGCTAAGAGGTTGAGGGTTTTGCGACTCTGTCATAATGAGACCTTGCTAGACTGATCACCAGGAACATGACCCCTAACCCCCATCTATCCACAGCAACACGCGACACTCAGTAATTAGGTAAACCCTCGACTCGAAACCACCTACGACCTTGAGGGGCCCCTTGATGTCCCCCCCCATACACTCAAGACTTCCTGCGCCAAATGAGCTGCGCTGAGTCCCAGAAAGTACCATAACAAAGGATTTAGCGGTGCAGGATGCCCCCCGTCAAAAGTACGATCCAGCGTACGTCCTCAAACCCTAAACCCAAAGCCCTAAACCTAAAGCCCTCAACCTAAAAGCCCTAAAGC